TCAGAAGTTTTCGTCTCTCGATATCAATATCTACGGACTTGCTGCCCAGCAGGACGGCGGAAACATTTAAATAGATCGGTTTACTGAAAACTTTTATTTTTTCGCCCAGCTGACGTGTATTAACGCTAAACCGATCACAAAATTACTTCTTTACTGTAAAGTGTCTGTTTTAACAAACATAATCCCAACCCCTCATTCCCTCGCTAAGTATTAACATATAACATCACCAATGTTAATGAGACTGCCACTGTCTATTGCACCGTTTAGTACAGTTTACATGATGCACTAAAGCAAACTGTTAAATGGAGTTATCAGGACATAAGGTTGGAAAGTATCCGTGTGTAAGGTTAGTTGCTGGAAATAAATTCCGGATATAAAAATGGAAGTAACAGGATGTAAGATTGGTAGCGTCCAGGTGTTAAGTTCGTTGTGTCCGAATGTGAGGCCGGTAGTAACCGTATGTCAGGTTGGTAGTATCCGAATGTAGGTTGGTAGTATCCGAATGTCAGGTTGGTAGTATCCGAATGTCAGGTTGGTTAGTATCCGAATGTCAGGTCCGTAGTATCCGAATGTCAGGTCCGTAGTTAGCATAAGGTTGGTAGTACACGGATATAAGATTCGAAGTGTCCGGAATTAGGGTTGGTTGTACGCAGACATAAGGGTCGTAGTACCCGGATATAAAGGTTGGTGGTATCCAGATATAAGGTTGGCAGTTACCGCCCACAAGGTCTGTATTATCCGGATATCAAAGTCAGAAGTGACCGGATTTAGAGTTGGTAGTGCCCGTATATAAAGTGAGAAGTGACTGGATTTGGAGTTGGTAGTGCCCGGATATAAAGTGAGAAGTGACAGGATTTAGAGTTGGAAGTGCCCGGATATAAAGTGAGAAGTGACTGGATTTAGAGTTGGAAGTGCCCGGATATAAAGTGAGAAGTGTCCGGATTTAGGTTTGGTAGTGCCCGGATATAAAGTGAGAAGTGTCCGGATTTAGGTTTGGTAGTGCCCGGATATAAAGTGAGAAGTAAACGGATTTAGGTTTGGCAGTGCCCGGATATAAAGTGAGAATTGACCGGATTTAGGTTTGGTAGTGCCCGGATATAAAGTGAGAAGTGTCCGGATTTAGGTTTGGTAGTGCCCGGATTTAAAGTGAGAAGTGTCCGGATTTAGAGTTGGTAGTGCCCGGATATAAAGTGAGAAGTGACTGGATTTGGAGTTGGTAGTGCCCGGATATAAAGTGAGAAGTGACTGGATTTAGAGTTGACAGTGCCCGGATATAAGGTCGGTAATGCACGATTGAAGATACCTAGTTTTATATTTTTGGATCTTACCTAGTTTTATATTTTTGGATCTTACCTAGTTTTATATTTTTGGATCTTACCTAGTTTTATAGTTTTGGATCTTACCTAGTTTTATAGTTTTGCATCTTACCTAGTTTTATATTTTTGGATCTTACCTAGTTTTATAGTTTTGGATCTTACCTAGTTTTATAGTTTTGGATCTTACCTAGTTTTATATTTTTGGATCTTACCTAGCTTTTTAATCGAAAATGAAGAGTTACTTGACGATCAAACAAGTCCATCTGAACATCAGAAACTGTACTCAGAATAAATCTAAACAGAGAGAGTTGTATTTCTCTATGTTTTGATATGAATGTTTTTTTTTTGCAGAGCAATATACTACTAAGCCTAAACAGTTCACTGCCAACTGATCACGGTAGTCGTATAAAAGACAATGGCCGCCATTAAGACAAATTGCTGAACTTCCACTGCACGCCTCGGCAATAAACCACGAGAATATGACAGATAGCTTACAAAGCCTTTCTGTCGGCGTGGAACATTTTTTATATGTCGGAGTCTGTATATATGTTGTCCTTGTGAAGATATATCTGTTTAAACCTAGGCTTAACAGAGACATGACACTTTTGTGACGTCAGCAATATTTTTTAATTCAGTCTCTAAACACGAACATCGCCGTGTTTACGATCGTTATTTACTTATATGGTAATATAACCTTATCTGGGTAGCATCTTTCAGTGACACGTATTACCTGTATAAGTGGGGATTACATTTCAGCGTCGTTACAATAGCAAAGGTCTCGCTGGATTGTTTTTTTCTTGGGTAGCTGATATCCAGGCCACTTCAGAAAGACGAAACATAAAGCCCATAAAAGGCAAAATGATTCCTAGAAGATTCTGTATAAGTTTAAGCCGCGATGCGCACCCAGTTGTCCCGGGTCGTGCAGACACAGATTAATCAAATTCTAATTTAAAATGCCATATAACTTGTACACGTATATCTTCCTTGACTAAGTTAGAAGGTATCACGTTGTTTGTGGATTTATCACAAAGATTTCTTAATAAACTTATGTGTAAAAAAGTCCGTTGCCATGGTATCGACGGGCGCTAGTAATTCTACATTTCATTGTGCAACTTTTCCATTTATTCGATTCTAATTGAAGTTGATGCCCTTCAAGTAATTGTCATATTTACCAACAGATATACAAAACATCAAATATCTGTTGCCGTGGTAACGACGACAGAATTGGGTGTTTAGTATTATTATTAGTTGTATAATTACCTCCCCTGGGAAATGGATGCCTCTGATTGGTTGGGAGGTTGATAACAAGTTTATAAGCAGATTGTTCCAATCAGAGTCCTGTATCTGTGTCAGCTAAACTTTCTCAAAATATTACCTCTCAATACTTTGTCCACGTGAAACTGGAAATAACATTCGTGTGTAATCATTATGAAATAACCACAAGAATTTGTTTAATATATAAAACAGATATGCAACTATTGACAGTGCATGATCATAAATATATTGTATTATTCCTTGACTGATGAAAACCCTTTGTATTAATAAAAATATCAAAAGGCCCAAACAGCCTGTATCGTTCATATGTGTTGTAGGTTATAAACTTCCCTCTCCCCTTGTATACACAGGCCAAACATTCTGACATTGAGAACTAACGTTGAAGTCTTGAACATTTTTTTACCCAAGTGACATTGAAAGTGTGTCAAGGTCTTCCAAACAACCAAAACTTGGAAATTTATAATCGGTATTTACTTCTGTTGTCGGTGATAGTATACAGTTGTTGACTGGGGTAGAGGGCAACAGATGATCTGTTGGACCCGAAGGCAAACTGTTGCCATTTTGTTGTGCAGACGATAAGAGAAGATAATTCTAATGTAAACAAAACATCGTTATCACTCGGGCGTACTCGTATGTTTCCGTAAAGCGGTCAACAGTCCATTTGGACCGGCGAACAAAACAGTTAAACTTCCGACATTTCTTTCTCTATATAAATATATAGGAACTGAATATACAGGGTATAACAAAAATAATTATTCACAGCACTTCTGAATTACGAAACCATGACTCTCTGTATATGTATGTGGGCATGTGTTTGTATGAGAGTATGAACCAATGTAATGTGGTGTATCTTAAATATCGTCTTAAGTTTTCTTTATGTATGTATGTGTGTTTATTATTGTAGAGAAATGGCTTTGTATCGTTGTATAACTTATGCACAATCACCCTCTTCCCTACTAACACCACCTCCACAACCACCACCTCCACTACCACAATTTTGCTGGCCAAATATCACGACACTGGGGCTTTTGATATTCGAGAATAAGTGGTTTGAAGGGAAACAATGGGCCCAATGGCCTGGTATTCTATGTGTATTACACAAACACTCAGTTCTGCACTGTATCAGTTATAACCTGGAGTAAAGGTTATATTATTTCTTTTTTCGTTTTTTTCTTAAAATTTGTCGGGCTAGATCTAGAAACACCTTTCCCATGATATTCTGCTCCGCGGACTTTGGTTTATCCGAAGAAGTCTTTGACCCCTGTGACCTTGATTATGATAAACTTTTTACAAAATTTGTCAGGTTTTAAACCAGAGACCTGCCTGCCACGCTTCGAAAACTTTTCATTAATTTCAAGGAGTCTTTTTAATGTTTTAACAAATTTGATCTCGAATGTGGATCAAAATTATTTCTTTTCTGCCATATGTTGTCAATCTTCATGCGAGAGACTTACTAGCAAAACATCGTGAGTCTAGGCCCTTTGAATACTCAGAAGTCGTTTCATGGTTTAACAAATTCGACCCCTGTGACCTTTAATATGGGTCAAAGTCATTTCATGTCACCAACGTCAGGATTTATGCTAAGAACCTATCAGCCAAATGTTATGTATTTAGGACTTTTGGTGGATCAGAAAAAAAGCTGTTAAAAGGTTTTAACAAAATCGACTCACGTCACCTCGAAAATGGGTCAAGGTCATTTCTTTCCGTTGTGATTGTCAGGCTTCATCTTAGGAGCCTACCAGTCAATTATCATGTTTCTGCGCACCTGTGACTTTGAATGTAGGGTTAAGGTCATTTTTTTCGCAAACTTTGACCGACTTGATTCCAGAGACCAACCGGCGAAATAAAATGCTTTATGGTTAATCAGAAGAAGTCGTTTCAAGTTATTAATGTTTTAACAAATGTGACCCCTCTGACATTATGAAATTATGTCAAAAGTCCTTTCTTTTCCCTAACTCTGTCAGATTTCATCCCAGAGACCTACCATCCATATCATTGCTTCTCGGTGTTTTGGTTTGCAAGAAGCAGTCTTTTACATGCTTTGTCAAGTTTCACCCCTTTGACCTTGAAAATGTGTGAAGGTATTAGTCAAGGTCACTTCTTTTCTCAACCTTCGTCTGGCCGTATTCCAGGAACATGTCAGCCGATCATTATTTCTTTGGGACTCATTGTTATTGGGAAGCCATTCAAATAGAAAAGTTGACCCCGGCTGGACAGACGGACGACGGACACCGTACCAAGCTAGGGCCTGGTGAGCTAAAAATGATACATGAAGAACTCTGTAACACTGCAGAAGTTCGCATGTCCTTCTGGAAGGTGATTTTAAAACTCCCCCAACACAAAAAGGTATTTTAAAGTTTTGAAATATTCAATAAAATTCGCAAAAATACCAGAGACAAACACACCAACAATATTTAAATATATTTGTTTATTAATTTCAAAATAAACATGTAACCTTTATACATATTGCAGTCATCGTCAATTACTCTTGAAAATCAATTTTTAAAATTCTAAACACATGCAATTTTCTACCACTATTTTCCTCTGAATGTACAGTTGTCATGTAAGTGTTTACGCTATTTACAGGTCATAGCAGACCTCATCTAAACATGAAACGTCCCGAGGCCCGGATCGATGTTTCCGGCGTATTATAATTTTTAAAATTTAAAGTTCCCAGCAAAAATTCAATTGATTTTTTATCATCTAGTTCATTTTTATTAACTTCAAAATTTATAGTTGAAAAATTTACGCAATCTTTAAACAGAAACATTTAACATACTGGCAAAACAACAATTTTAAACTATTCCTTTAAATGATTATATCAATCAGGCACATAGGGTGATTTCGATGTTCAGATCAGGAGAAATTTCGTGTAAAAAATACTAAAAAATATTTAAACTTTTATGAAAATGAAACATCTTACTTCGATTTTGTAAAAAGTTTTTAAATCAAATATACAGTAAGATATAAATATCACGAATATCTATCAGCAGATTTTACCTATCACATGTACCATAATATCATTGGAAATTTATCATTTAAAATAAACATTGTATGTTTGTATGAAAGATCGGCGTTGAAACATCCATCCACACTCTTTCTCATTCCTTATAAAATGCTTTCCTTATTAACAATCTAAATATATGGAAGCGCTGTTTTCAATATTTCAAACTTGTGAAATTTCTAACACTACAAAGGCACAAACCATTACCCAACATACTGACAAGACAGGAAGGTTTGACATCGAATCTTATTTTACGAAGAACTTTCACAAGACACATAATTAAACATGCCAAACACGTCCAGAAGGCAACAAATGACGTGTTTTATCGGTGGTGTATTGTTTCCAACAAATGCAGAATTCTAGTAAAAGTTTAATTTTGAGCTAAAATATAATAACTGTACGCTGAAGTACAAAATGCTCGATATTTTCAAAATAAAAAGCTACTGTATGTATATATACATGTATATATAATGCCACTTTAAAACTCATTAACTAGGATATAACCATATAAGGAATGTTCGCTGTTGAAAACCCGCCAGTTAGCGTAATAGATTCTCCCTTTCCCTGATAGGAATGGTACAATGTTATATTGAGTATAACTGACAGAAACTTCATTGTGTATAAAATACCAAGCTCTAGCAATTCCCTAATAGTCCTTCTTTCGTTCTCACTTTCTCTCCAATCTGACAGAAAGACAGCCGGTAAACCGTGCGACAACTATGTACTGACCAACGATAATATATAAATCGCTATCGGTAAAATGCCGTAAATGAGAGCCTTCCTTTAAACGGTCGATTCATTTCAAAAGGATTCACTTCACAACAAAACGGTAAACTGGTTATCATGCTAATTATGAAATCAATCTAAAATAAAACATGGAAGAATTAAATATTATTATCCTTCATCAGTTTTCTGTGACTGTATGATGAAAATGAAATATGATGATAATAATAATAATAATGACCTTATCTGATCCAAACGCTTAGAATACATAATGGAAGGCGATTCAGTCAAAATGTATTTACACTGTACATGATTTTTTTCCGGTGTCGGATATGGGATTCGGAAGACATAGAATCAGAAATCATCACAAACTGCATAGAATTTTTAAAAATATATATATAAATTGTTCGTTAATTTATGTACATCTCTTTCATATTTAACTATTTCAGCAAATATATGATGGTTTATTTTTAAACTGGTGGGTAGCATACATAAACATAGGTAACAATATTTGACATGTATTTAAACAACAACCAAGGAAAGTACTGTGAGATCACTCTTGTCTAAATGGAAGACCACAAGTCAACGAAAAAAAATTACAAACTTTCCTTCTTTATACTAATACCCAACAAAAAAAGTGCAGATATTTTTGTTTAAATTTTTCAACAATTTAGAAAAATCAAAAAGTAATGTTGGTAGAGAAAAAACACACACAATGACGTAAAATAGATTTCTTTGTAGTTTCGTTGAGCTTTCTGGACCATTATCTAAACCATTTTTTATTTTCGTTGGTAGTGCTGACGAAAATATCACCATCAATCACAAAAAAATGCCTTCTCAAAGACTAGATTAAGGCAGATGCCTCAACGAGAATTGGAATGAAAACTGGCAAGTTTACTTAATAAAATAATGAAATTATGACGACTTTTAGTCTCAATGAAAACTCTGGAAAGATTTCATGGGCACATGACGATGTGCTACAAGCGGAAATTCAAATCTGCGAAACATCAAACACAAATAAAAATTCTTACAAAAATCTGATCTTTCATGAAGGCTTCACTCGACAAAACAATCAACTATAGACCTTTTATAAGGTTCATGATTTTTACAACTCTTTATGATATGGAGAGATTTTTTTAACAGAAACTCGATCCTTAGATGTCAAAGGTGAATGTTAGAAAAAAAAACTGAGAATTGCGTATATCTAGTGAGAACCATTCTATTACATGAATATTTGTCGATAGAACACTCCACTGTGTGGGCACACGCCTTTTACGTCAAAACCTTTTCTCTCCATTTTTCAAATTTATAGACCTAAACACACTAATGTATCCATTCATTACGAACTACCATAAAATCTAAAGGAATATACACGCAAACTTGGCAAGATACTTTCCATTCCGATAAACTTCAAAATATCACTCATTTTTAGTTACCAGAAATGCACAAGAAGAAAAAGATCCACAAGGGTCAACGTAAAATGAACACGATATAGGAGTCGTGCTTGCGTTTTTTTACATATATCCCCGATTCATTTACATGTTCATCCTTCAGGTTCTATGACTAAAACGTTTCAAATCAGATTAAAACTAATCCATTTGTTTCAAGTAAGCTTAAAAAATACCCAGTTACTATGGAAAATTTTCACAAAGATCACACTAAAATGTCATATCCTTAGAAAAGAATAAATTTCACTTATTTTATTCATTAATGATTTTTTTATATTAAATATCTTTAAGCGTTTTCAAGAACCTGATGAAAAGGGAACATGTGTAAGAAACGCTTTGCACACACCGTATATTGGACACATGACTAGAAGCAAGAGTCCTGGGCTTTTGTTCGATATGCTAACATCCTAAAAACAAGTCTTTGTCCCTCACTTCAAGTAACACAGCTAGCTCGTATACAAAAGTTTTCACACGCGCAAACCTAGCACCAGCGTCACGTGACACAGCTGTGTCAAAGTAGGTGCCACAACATGGACCTTACGCAATATGAAATGTCATCCAATCTGAGCGGGTCGGTGCCACCATTTTCTTGTCATAAGCTCATTTTGGAATGTTGGGTTTTATGTTTTTTATCTCTGGAAATGTTAAATCGTTTTGTTCCGCCAATTTGTATAGCTATCGCGCATGGCAATGCGCATGCCAGGTGAGCACCATTGAAATACGGCGCGAAATGTCATGACGGCAGTAATTGAGTAGATTATCTCTCATTTGTGCTTCCTCAAATAATTTCCACATCATGCATTGGGTTCGTAGTCTTCAGCCATCTTTTTTACGGAGTCTTTCTCGCGGTAAATTCCCCATAAATTCATGACTAAATCTGTGAGTAGAATGGCGTTGGAATTCCTGGCTACTAGGCGCAGAACGAACAGCCCATCGTCACGGAGGTAGTCATCGGCGAAAGACTTGCATATTTTCTTGTCGTCATTTCCATGTAATTGATCCTTTACCTTCAAGAATTTCTTGATGTAAGCTACTCTATTCTGCTTGACGACTGTTCGCCAAACCCAGAAACAGAAATTTCCCAATGTGAGGACGGCTACGAACACGAACCAGAACCAGAGGAAGATAAAGATCTTCTCGTTGAAGAGATTGATGGGCAGGACGCATTGCACAGTCCACCGCTGAAGATTCTGCAACTGGCGGATGTCAAAATCACACAATGTCACGCGGGGAAATCTCGCTGATTCACGAATTTGTCCACCGCCGGCGAGATCTCCAAGAACCTCCAGTCCGTACGCCGAGTAGAAGTCATGCCCCATGAATCCATTTAGAATGAAGAATTGACATATAATGTTTACGCAATAGAGAATTTTGACGAACATGTAAAGGCCAATCAGAAAGGTTCCATCTCTCTTGTTGCACAGCAAGCAACAAAACTTTGAAGCCTTTTGGCGCATGCGCACCATGAGGTTGTACTGGTACTGCCTATGAGTGTCCAGCCATCTGTCGATGTAAACAGCTATATGTTTTACGGTCTCGTCTCGTTTCTTCGGCTCGCTAGTCTGGGTATCGGCGGCCATGTTGACAATTCGCTGGACGTTAATTCCGCTATATCCATTCAACATCCTCCAAACAAGGCAAGGAAACTTGAACATGAACGCCATGAATACTAAAATGATGGGCACCCACTGATAGTAGGTGAGCTCTTCCTTATCACGAGCATCGTGCTCTACCGGGATACTATCATCCATCGGTATATAGTAAGTATTTTTAATCCAACAATAGGATTTCGTATACGAGACATACGACCCCGTAAATTGTGCGGGACACCAACACTGGATGGGGTCCCCCACATACTGACCACCACCCGTGAACACTGCGAAGATACACAGTAAAACTACCGTGTACAGATGGTTCATACGATCAATCCAATCATCATCATCGTTGCCTTTGAGTTTATTCCAGCTCGCCCAGCTCCCGAAAATCCACACAATTCTGTAAAAACATAAACGATACAGTTAAACAAAATAAATCATAAATCAAAATGTGCGAGCTTAAAAGTAATCATTTAACCTTCGTCTTTAAGAAGAAGGGGCATAACTCTATCGTCCTTAACAAGGGACATAACTCTATTAAATACCAAAACAATGTTGTAACTCTTGCTACAGCACCTCTTTGAAAATTGCAACGAAACACAAACGAATTACAGGAAAAAATCAAATTGTCTTCATATTATTTCATCAATTCAATACAACTGATATGAGGATTAAACTGTACTTTATGTATGAATACTTTAAAGTTTATATAAACACAAATGGCCACGAGTGGTTTTTTTAACACCTTTATTAAATTTCGCCTCAGAACTACTTTTTACTTCCGTTCATAAATTTGAACTGTTAACTATTGAAGACGTGCGTTCACTAGAATGTAACAAAATTTAAATTGAAAGTTATAGTAATTTGTTAAATGCACTTTATATTACAGGATAAATGTCAAAATACCAATATTTTTATGTTTAAAGTTTATGTTTAATTTGGATGTAAGTGATGCGTCTATTTACAGAGGCGTTTACTCGGTTAGAGAATGAGAAGTTACATATACTTTATTTTGTTATCTATCAAGTTGATGCGACTAAACAAGATGCCTACATATCTTTTTAAACTTCCGTGAAAATTTCTGAACTTAACCACTATCAATTCAACAAAAAACCACGGAAAAAATGCAGTTTCACAAGTTTATAATTTTTTTTTTCATTTTCAGAAAGGTGTATTCTACGTGTATAGAAACACAATACACAGTTAAAATCAAGACAGCTTGCTTATCACAGGTGGAAAGACATTCTTATCTGGTTGTGTACGAAATATACCACTAGGTCGTGCTTTTCCCAAGCTTATTAGACTAAGAACTAGGTCCGAATTAATCCAGGGGCTACCTAGTTCCACTGATAGAGAAGTTTGTTTAGGAACACTATTGACAAATCTACAACAGTGAAAGGGAGAGATTCGGCCCTGAAGGGAGTTTTATCTTCATTGCGTAACTTTGTTTCAATACATGCAGGTGTCGACTATCGGACGCCATTATAACGGGCTGTGACGTCATATTACGTCATAAAGGTAAATGACGGAAGACTGGTCGTTTGCTACTCAGATGTGAACAAGTTTACAACAGTGAAGTGTTATACACAAATCGATTTACATTGAGGCTCCCCGCAGGATTTCTATTAGTAATCTTATTTAAAGGGAGTGAAGCTCCACTCCGAGTACACAGGAAGTACATCGCGACACAAAAAAAAATACAAACAAAAAAAAAAGAAAAAAATATATATAAGAAACGAAAGCAAAAGAAAAACCCCAACGAAAACAAAAAAACAATAATTATACGTAAAATATTTGAGATGTATTTTGATGTATGGTATTGTCTGTACATCATCGTTGATGGGATGAAATTTAAACAAGAATTTGTCGTAAGTTTTAATGATTGGGCGTTGGGTTGTGTTAAAATGCAAGTTATTTCAGTGTGATAACAGTATGTGACTCTGATTTAAAAGTTATCTTAATAAATTCCAGAAAAGGTCGACACACATATCGATAATACATGACAGACGTTCTTAAAATGTCAAACAAGTATTTTATCATCGGAGTGGTCACGGTCTAAATGTGTCGGTCTCGAGGTGCTGCATCGACATGTGATCCACATGCCCTAACATACACATATACATTGTATCTCCCGCCTACAGCGACATAAGCCGTCTTCATAAACGGTTTTGTGAAACTATATAAATTTAGTTCAGCTGGAATATTATCTTCCGTTCTTTTCACTCTTTCTGTAGATCAGAAAGAGCTCATTATTCAGTGTAAATATCAATTAATATACTATATATATACACATTTTTTTCAACAAATATATCTACTGTCTGATTGATCATATTGATAATCCATCTGTTCATTCGGCCAAAAAGTATTCTTAATTTCTATATAATAACAATAGCCCTAAAACTGAGCCTTAACGTAGCGTAAATTATTGAAGGAGGTAAAGTCGCTCTTTTTCGTAGACAAATTAAACCTTATCTTAAATTTCTAATCTGGCATCATGGCATGGCTGCTGGGAAAAGATAAACATTAATTATATATGTAAAAGCATATAGAATTCCCCAAGAGGTGTACCAGCGTGCATTTCCTCACGCTAACGTGAACTGAATGGCCGGTTACACTGGATACATGGACGTCGTTAAGAGACGTAGTCAAAAAAAGTGGGCCTAATTTGAAATTCCATATCAGGGTCCTCGACATGGATGCTTGGGAAAACTAAACATAAAACGAATTTACCAGAGTACGATTTGCCGGTCTGCCGTGAAAACTTGTTTCGATTAAAAACACGGGTGACTTTAAAATGGACACGTATTTAGTTAGGGATATGTGTTCCGTTGGGAAGTATCACTTAAAAAGACATCAGGGTCTAGATTTATGAGTATAAAAAAAACTTTAGTCATTTAAAATTCTAAAATAAGATAGCAGAGTATCGATTCCTTTTCTTACAGACATAAAAAAAACAATATCATCAATCTTAAAGTGCCTAATAGCTATTTAGAATTAGTAATCTCGCAAAACATTTGTCTTAACTGCAAACATGATTTTAATATGAATATTTTACTACTAAAATGGCCTTGACCTCACGCCAACATGGACAGACTGTGAAATTTCTGTTGTAAAGTATATTATACATTCAATCCTTTGTTATCTATTTTTAATTCTTGTCAAATTATTTTGGTTATCGAATAAATATCTGCTCCCCTGTCAATAAAACTATAAATGAACTAATACCCAAGACTTTATCTCGTCGATCTACACGAAATGAGGATTTATGATGCGATATAAAAGGCTAGTTATGTAAACGTTTCCAAATTATGTTCCATTTACGAAACCATAAAATTCGCCTACACCCGTTCACTGTTACACAAGCTATTTTAAACTTTATTGTCTATATCAGCAAGATTTAAATGCAAGAATTTGATACAATCGGTTTAAATTAAATTCAAATAAGGTCGTACTGTCGGCAGCTTCAAAGGTTGATTTCCGCCGCTGCACGTCAGTGATACGAAATGTACATTATGTTTAGTTTTTGCTTCTGGCTTTAGAGAAACGGGCCGTGTATTGTTTAGTTTATCGTGCTTCGGTGCTAGCTTGACCAGAGGCGATTTCTGACGAGTTAACAGATATTGCATCATACTTTCAGGCGACAACTGTCTTATCAAAAATAGCCGAATGAATGTCTGGTCGACAACTGTAAGATAACTTCACATTAAGAATATACGAAACAGAGTGTTTTAAATTAATTTTAAACAGTTTAATTTACTGTCAGGTACAAAGCAAGCTACGGATGATATAAATCCTTTCTTGAACTTTTTTCTAGAAAGACATCTTCGGTATGATGTATTACTATAACAGCATATGACATAATTTATAACTTTGAAAGGTACACGTCTCCAGCTTAGAAATGATGATTACTGACTACATCACAAGACCTGGCAGAAATATACAGTAATATGTGACAGAAATCTTAATTAGTTATTTTCTTTTAAAAGTTTTAAAAATTGTAGGTTATATTCATATCGTTATATAACCGCGCTGTAAGACAGTTGTAGCGACCCACTGACACGATGATACATGTTTAAATGATAATTTCTTTTTTATTTTACCCTTGCTGAATATTCTGGCTGGTAATTCTAGACACGTCTCATTCATATGATCAGCATGAAGACATTCTTTATGCCTCACATGATGGTGTATGTATCAACACATTTCCTTGACAAATTGTTGTTCTATTGCGTTAGAGCATCTCCACATGTTCAAGTAGGTCTGTTTATTGGACTTTGAATATTACACAAATCGGTCAAAGGGTACAGTATCGTTCAAGTAGGGGCAGTGGTAACACTACACTGATCCGTCTCTAGAATATTCAAAATATAAATAAAATTGAGTCTTACAATAATTTTACAGGAAGTGGAAATACACTAGTATAAGGATTTAGAGAGTATTTTTGAACAAGCACGTGGGACTGGTACCTAGTTTGTGGTATATGGATTATTTGCTCGTATCCGGATTTTATCAAGTAAGAAGTTAAATCACTTTGTAAATCGTATTTTCACAAACTCGGCTAAAAAATCCCGTCGCCCAGAAAATAAATGCTTTGGTTGTGCGATTTTAAACAATGATCAACACTTCCTTTGAAGGCCCGTGAATAGTTTTTCCCCTAATATATCCTATAGCCATATAATTTAGGGCTTACACTACACATATTTTCACCTTTCAAATTAACGAGATATTTGATAGTTCTGTACTTGGTCATTTAATAAATGGACATTTATTTTCCGGTTTACACATTACAGGCACTGGAAGTATGATTTAGAATATGTATGCACTAAGTACGTCGCACGGAGAACAGCCCCGGGGTTTGCTAACTAATGTGTTCAGGGCTGGAGTGGTAGGTACGTACACGAGCTGTCAACCACTCATCTCCTACACCCCGTGGCTACAGCTGCATATTACCAGACACAGACATAGAGGCCAGTGGCTTTACGTTCTTCTATATCTAAGTTCGCGGCACAAGTCAATGTAAATACTTGAAAAAAATATGGTATAACGCATCGTAAATTATCTTTATAAGTCAAATAAATTCTTAAAGCTCCTGAAAAATATTTCTCTGACAAAAATTTAGAAATGTAAGCAATCATAACAGTACACTCGCTACAGAGTTACATCCCCTTGACCATTAGCGGAGCTCTTCAATGGCAGAATGTTGTACCAGGACCAGGGACGAATTGCACTAATCAAGCTTTGTGGTGTTGTTTCGTCGCGAATTCAGCCGATTAGTATTTAATGCTGTACTTGACAAACTATACGAGTGAGTGGCTTAGTACAGGTAGATCGCTGTGTGGTTAAATACCTCAAAATACTTCCCTTAGGTTAAAAACATCTTTATGAATCTAGGTTTAAAAATCAAATCAAATTAAACTATAGGTATTTAAAAATTATGTGTAAGGTGTATGTTTTGATTGTAAAGAATCGGACAATGGGGTTTAATTTTTTCAGTAATATTTGTTTGATCCTATGAGAAGGGAAGTATGTCTCAGTTCGCATGTATAATACCGACTGTTTACTGTAAATAAAACAGGGTTTACAAGTGCGAATTCTTGGATAAGTACAACAATAATTTGTTCAGTTTCAGGTGAATGACACTTACGATGTAAAATAAAGATTCAGTTTGAATAAATCATCAGAGTAAACTCACAAAAGTGTTAATGGTTACATGGTTGTACACAGGACCATGAAAGGTTCAATTATAGACATATATATATATATATGTAACTCCATTGTTAAAACAACCTGGCCGGACATCAAAAATGTGACATTTAACCATCGAATTTATTCCTTATTACGTTAATACAGCATAAATACCGTCATTCTCTGTGATTACGATACAAGTCACAGATGTTTTTCATCTCGAGTATCACAAATATCGGACCTTCAACTAAATTGGACAATGTTTAACTTGTTGGCCAGCTTATCTGTATCGTAATATCTACACTTAATTCCCGAACAAACCTCTTCATCTGATAAACACGCCTTATCACAACATATCTTCCTTTTATAATATTCAGGTAATATGTATCTTTATTTATTATACACCATTTTGTTTTGGTACAGAAAGATGAACGCCTGGCTTCACTCTAGACAAAACCGTTTTGTATGGTGTCCTTCCGATTGTGATTTTTAAAGCATCTTGTGATTTTACTCAACCTCTGATATTAATTTTCATATCTACAATGATAACCTCATAACAAGGGATGTGAGAGGGGTGTTTTATCAAACATAGGATAAAAAAGTATTACGGGATTCGCTAAATATGAAGACTACCCCATCATAACACCGACTACGGCTGACAATTATCATTGTAGCCTCGCCCCCTGGTATTATTTCTTATCGACCACTTGTTGTGAATCGACGGTAATTATTACATAAGTATGCGATTATCAACAGACATGCACGTACTTTACATGTGGTATATATCAAAAGCACATGAGAAGGACAACCTGTTGATTGTGTGTATCTAGAGGGTAAAACGCAGCGCGTTTCTGCTATGACATTGACAGGTATAAGAAGACAACGATTTATATGCAGGGAGTGGGAGAGACCGCGCTGAGAAGGGGTTGGAGAGGGACTTGCATTATTGAATTACGTTGCGAATTACACGGATTTTGTATTCCATTTAACTAAACAATTATTCAAAGACAGTTTGCATTTGGTGTAAAGTGCATTAATTTCTTAACAAGGGTTTAGATCCTTGGTTAAAAAAAATAAAACAAAAATCTCAGTATGTTCATTTTCTTCTCGTTAATAGCACAAATTAGTTACAACAAATGTCACACACTTTCTGCCAATTAACGCCTAGAACGACAAATATATCCGCTTGGAGCCCTATCCGACATTTTTTGTTATTTGATTGCCCCGGGGTAACAAATCTAGACCCACGCCTTTGTTTTGTTTGTTGACGGGGCACGCTAACGCTATGAGTGGATGGCAGTATTTAATAACCACAAACTAGCAATACCCATTAAACATCAGAGTAACAACATATATAGAGAGAGTGCTAGATACAGTGTGTTTATGGTCACCCCTCCATCTAAACTCTCACGACGGCTTCCATATCACACACAGACCCTTCACAAACATGCTAAACACATGTTCACTATTAAAAGCCCACTGTGGTATCAAATAACACTAGCGAAACACAACTGGTGTACAATTCCCACCAAACTCGGGAGCAGTATTTAACGTTTCATTAAACTAGGGTGAAGTTTCGTAAACAAAATATATGCAGTGTAAATCGGTATTAGAAGGAACACGAGCGAGTATATGTATATAAGTTTACTTACGACATGTTTGGTCTCCCGTCACTCTTTAAACACTGTCACCAATGTCCACCTGTCCTGATAAACGGACCACGTATGTGTGAAACTCCACGAAAGGTTTTCCGCTTGTACCTAAATGTACAGTAATACGTATACAAAATTCACTCTTGAATTCAATAACTTAAAAAACGAAATGATTAAAAATTCAAGCCATCGTTCCAAGTGTTCGAAACAAAATGTGTTGAGAAATAGGCGACAACTCAACAGCAAGTCATGCATTCAGGCAAATGAAAGTAATCGTCCAATCAGATTGCGTGCAGTCTGGGGTTAGAGGTCAATTTTGTGTAAATGTGTGTAGGACTGAGACCGTGTCTTAGTGTAGGTGAACAGCTAGCACTGTAGTCTACAAGCTCGACTATTAAAGATATAGAGATATATAATAGCATATACTCGGCATAAAGTATTTGATTTCATATCACATATCATAACAATATGATACCGAATTTCTTTCTTGTCCTCGCAACCACCATGATTACAAACATGTTATTTTTTTAGTATTGCAAGTGAAATTAATTACATGTATTTCATCACATCATCTGCCAATCCTAGAGATTAAATTCTAGAGTTATAAATCAGATCAAATGGATCACATCTTGTCGACATTGAAGTATTATCTATATTTAAATTTCATTTCAATGAGTAACACCAAACAATGAATATCAGTTTATTAATTTTATTATTAAAAAAAAGACATTTTTTGTCAATGTTTCAACGGATTTTAACAAAATACTATTTGATGAAATTAATTGAATTTCTAGAATTTTCTAAGCCTTTTACGTAAAAGCACTGTATTGTAGCCAGTTAACGAGAATGATTTTTTTTTCATTGTGTGCGATATCGCTTATGGGAAAATATTTGAGGAAGGGTATGATGGAGGGATCTTAGCGCCATAGAGCTCCTGCTGGAACCTCACTGTACATCCGACATTGATCCCATAGTCTCGTGTATTCTAGGAAAATCGGGGTCTCAAACTGTCTTATCCATCATATTACTTTTTTCACTTTCCCCTACATGGTTACTATAAATAGCATGTTCAAGTATCTCCTGCGTGATCTATAAGGAACAGACCATATTTTACAAGACAGGAAAACCACATGCCGTTTTGACAATAGAAGGACTAGTTTACGACGTCAGTTACAATAATGGTCCGTCGGGACCACCTGCAACTTAGAAATCATGTATGACCTATATATTGTGAATTTAACATTTAATTAAAAAATGAAAGAGTAAAACCTGATAGATGAATTCTAGTTTCAATCAATGCATGAGTCAGTGAAGTTCTATAACATTCAGTAGATCTAATAAACAAAACAGTGACATCAAAATCACATATATGATTTACATAACTTACAGGTCAGCGACATATATACGACCCGTGGATTGTAGACATATGTCAAATGTCACTATAAAACAATGGTCGACAGTAGCACGTGCACTTACTCCCCTGAAGACTATTGCTGACCTACATTTGGTTGTCACAATCACATTTTCCATTGTTTTAGAACCCCAGGGTTGCAAATGGACACCAATTCTGAAGTCCGATAAAACCTGTAAATTGAAATTCTATTTTTGCGATATTTTTAAGATTTTATTTGATTTTTGGGATACATTTACGATCTCCATCACCCACTTTACCTGAATTTCATAATAACTAACCTGTAAAGATATTTTCCAACACGCTGTCACCTGTTAAAAGGAAATAAACGTCATTCACCTCAGAAATTGGATTTCATTTAATCATAAAATCACAGTAATTGTTTTACTTTAAAGAGGATTTATCATACTAACTTTCCGCATTGTAAAGCTATTGTCAAGTTGTTTTACATGATACGACGAGCATCAGGGAAAGTTAAAGAAATGCCGCTGATTTCTTCAGTAAAAAAAAACCGGTTTTAGTAATTAACCACATTTTCATTAATTAAATTCAATGGTTACATTTTTACATTTTAAGATTAAAACTAAATCGATTTTAGATATCAGACTCCAAAACATGAAGATAACAGGCTACATCAACTCATAGAGAAAAAAAAGCTTGTCAATAAGTCATCCACTTACGTAGGTAAATAGACAGGTATGCACAGGTAAATCTTACACAGTAGAGATAGCTAAGCTGTTATCTCGAGGCGCCCATTGACGAACCTCTCAACCAAGGAGTTCTGCTTTTGATACCATGTTTACAAGCAAAGGCAAAATAAATTAGAGTTTGATATTGTTTACATCGTGGGAATTTACCGTTATTTAACGTCAGTTCCGCCACACCCGTTTGATACGAGGAGTTACGGATTACAACCCTTGTCTGAGATGTATTTCGACATAGTAATAACGGGTGTGGGTGTGGGTGCGAGGGGGTGTGTTACTGAATAAATAATTTACAAGAAAATATTTGATGCTTAATTAAAAATTTAGTTAATATTACAATAAGAGATGGACTGACTACTATCATTAATTTTTTCAGTCAGATATATTTTTGGCTATTTCCAAGACTTCGAACCATTTTGTTTAATGCCATCATGATAAAGTTCAAGGTCGGATAGCGTACAGTACAACGGAACGGAATCAATACTTGATGGGAAAAGTTGCATTAGTAGAATGATAAAAATATCACACAGAATCACTCTGATATAGGACGATGGAAATAATTCCAATCATTGTCAAGGAAAGAAGCAAGCGACTGTAATTGCAGGGTCACACGATGTCGATGAGAGAAGATGAAACGAGACAGGACATATGTGGTAAGTTGGAATGAAGGATGGACATGGTAAAGTGGAGTAAAAAAATATAATATCAAACGTGAAGCATCTGATAAAGATTGATTACTTACCTTATTTATGAACTGAAATGCTCACTTCACATCACAAACTGCTTCGTGAAATATTTTGATGGAGAGTCCGCGAATAAAAAAGAATGTCTTTGTTGTCAATGGGATTGGAAAGTTCTTACCAAGGGAAGTAACCAAGTGGCTTTGTATTCTAAAGGATTGAAAGGTTTCACTTTGTTCAGTAACACATAAAATTAATTTTCCAGCAGTTTCGTTTATAATGCTGTAATTGGAGAGAACTTCCTTCATACGATAATAGATGTTTGACTTTATAAATCTTAGCCTATGAAAGGAATATATAGAATCTAATAAGTAATATCGACGGTATGGTCCAATATTGGTACTGGATCCTACCAATGTTCTATGTGTCTGATGTAACTTCTGTAATATCATGATAAAGTGGCAGATTGTCAAGAAAATTGGTAATTTGACATTTTGCCTTGTCCGTTATGTCGTAATTGATAATAGAGTATGTATATATAAAACATTCTCGATATTTTAGTCACCATCTTACATACAACAACTTGGGATGTATTTTGTCCGCTATAAAGGGCCTTCGGCGTCCATCAGCCGAAGGGATTATCGAGATACCTAAATTTACACCACCGCTCTCGATTTAGATTTATAACTTTGTAAATTTTTTGTTCTATGTATGTGATGTAATTTATGTAATATTTGTGTCTTGATAAAAGGGCAGGTTGCCTCGAAATTTTGACAATTCGCTTGTCTGTACTGGCGCTATTACTTTATTGATTATATATATATATAAACATACATAGTGGTCGAGGACACTCTAAAACACTTTTTCTTCAACGACACATGACCAACAGAAGAGGAAATATCTTTGCTATAAGAACTGTAAAAACATGGAATAATCTTACAGAAGACATTGCATCTGCTCCAAATATAAATACTTTTAAAAACAAACTGGATAAGTTTGGGAAAAATCAAGATATTGTATATAATTATAGAGCTACTGTAAACTAGCCGGAACATGAACTTTAACCACAATAGTATAATTTTGAGTCTGGTGAAGAGGAACACTGTATGTTCCTGTACCGGAAACACTACTATACTATACTATATATAGCTTCAGTCGATGACTACAAATCACCCCAACCTATGGATGGGTGAGAGGCTAGTGTGACTTTTATACAGTCGAACTCAATAATATGAATAGCAATACAAATAAGCAACGAGATAGAGGTGACTGGGAGGCAAGGCATTGTATTTTATGATTAAAACAGTTGGGTTTTTTTTCAATTTTATGAATTAACACTTCCGGATGTTTATATTTATTTTTGCGATCTTTAATTCTCTGATGCGTGTGCCGCTGTTTATTTTATAATTTAAATCTATTGAGTACTGACTAGGTTACAGTGATGCTGGTAAAGTGACGTAACACCAACGGGGAGAATTTTAATAGGTGACAGACAATATATTCCCATCACAAGGTCAGAATACATCGTACATCGCACAACGCTGTCTGGATTCAGCTTAATGCAAATTATTATTATTTTTGTAGTGATGTTTCACAAAGTTAACATTAGTTAGATTACCACATTTATAAAGGGTCCATATCGTAAAAAGAATGTTCTATTGTAAAATATTAGAGATAAAAATACTGGACTCAGTCGAATGACGTATCAATATGTTAACTTAGGTTACCTACGATTTTTCATTCTTTATTAAAATAAGGTAGATTTGTGGTTTAAACATTAAAATCGAAGCTAAGTAGAGATATTTAACATAGTAAAGTAACGGACACATAAAGATTTCCAATTTGGTGCTTAAGTGTCTATATCACAAGTATAATTCATCTTAGATTGTAAATCACAAATGGAGGATATGAATTTGAGATCACTGTTAACAGTTCCTTTCAGAGAAATCACGTTTGACTCTCATTTGGACGAGAAGTCTTTAAGCAGAATACATACATGATTGAATTGATAAGAAATCATCATTAATAACATTTTAAACAGGATCGAAAAGATAATTATATTTTGAATAAATCTTTTCCGAAGAATGAAATGACAACTTTGGCCATCGATGTTATTTAAGTACGAGTTGCTTCTATTTTTAAGTTTTATTTCATTCATAACAATATTTGTTTCTGTAATGTTCACTGAACTGGTGCCTAATGGTTTGCTTGAAATAAAAGAAATGCTTTTTGACTTTGTATACAATTTTGATTGCATACGTTATATCTATTTACGGAATCCGGCATTCCATAACTAGCGATGGAAGGTCAATAATTAAGGAAAGTGTCCTATCGATAATTGACCATTAGGGACAATTAACTGGACAACACGTGTTTTCTTTCGCGGATATAGGCCTCCGTAATGTGACCTTTTTACC